GTTGAAGCGGATGACATTTTTATCTTTTTGTTTCTCCGAGTCTATGGATATTAATTTGTTTTGCTTTTACAATGCTTAAACATTTGATTAAACATTGGGGTATTTTCTCTTGAGTATTTTTTTCTATCTCTTCTACTCTGTGGTCTTTTGTTTTTTGGGGTTTTTTTGGTTTTTTGAGACTATTGTGGAGAATCGCTTGGCTAGGTTGAATGGCATGTTGGGACAAGTGTGTTTCGGATGGCAAGATGTAAGATGGAGATACCATCGTGAGTCAATAGGTTTAAAATATGTCGGTTTCTAGTTTGCTGTTTCATTTTGCTATTAATATGTTTAAAAAGGGAAGTTATTTTTTTTTGTTGCACTGCTCCATAGTAAATTAGATGCTAGCATTTATATTATTGATGAATGCTTGAAATGTTCGTAGTTTATCAAGATTTCTATTCAACAGAATGAAACAATCATCTAGATACGGTTTCCAGTTTTCTTAGTTTTATGTAGTAGCTAAAATCATTCCCAATAGATTTTTGAGGCTAACTTGGAATGTCAAACCAGGTGTGTTTTGAAAGATTTTTCCGGAGCATCTCCCATTTTCTTGAGTTTTTTTATGAATATTTCGACTTTGTTAAACCTTTATTTTTTAATAGGAGTAGATAGGCCTTCCTATCGTCAAGTTCATACTATTCCCCCTTCTTTTGAACAGGAGTAGAGGTTCATCCCTTTGTCTCCTGTTTAGGAAAGTGATCCTGTTTACTTTCCTCTTCTGGTGCCTTAACAGTGGTTCTGTCATGATTTTTGGAGGGATATGTCTAGATGGTGGCTACGTTTCTGCATACTGAGGATGCCGTGCTGGCAGCTTTCTGTTTACAGCTTCCCGACTGGTAGTTACGAGCCCAACCTCTTGTGTAGCTTCTAGAGAGGCTGCTCTTATCAACCGTTGCATAATATCGGGGTTCTTGCAGTGCCAAGTCGTGCATGAAAAGTTGTCCCTGCAAGCACTTCCGGTGGGCAACCCCGAGGTGACATTATACTGCAGACTAGGCCTGTCTCCAGTCCGTACATCTTACATTAGACAACCGACGGATGCTACTATTTTCTGCCTTTTGCTTGACCAAATGACACACCATGACGATAAGCAACCAATGAAATAAAACTAAACCAGCTCACCAAAAGACACATACTTCCCCCTCAACTATTTTCCCACAACATTCGCGGAATTCGTAACAATATCTGCAATTTGGAATCTCCGGATTTCTTAGCACTATGCGAAACTAATCTTAATTATGCAATCCTCTCTTCTGATTTTTAGAATCCTGGCTATTCCTCCTATCTTTAGGAAGGACTCTAATGTCCATGTGCATGGCCTAGGAGTTTATATCTACGAACATTTCCCGCTTGCTGGGGAACCCTCATTTTAATCTTCAGATCATTCTTACATATGTCTCCGTCTCTCTATACTAAATTCAGTTAGCTATAACTTCTTTCTCTATCATTCCCCTTCCTCTCCCGACTTGTGCGTTTTAGCAAGTATCTCTGATAATATAGACAAGGGCATTTCTCTACCCGTATAGAGAGATGCAAGTATATTTTTGTTCGGTGAATTTAATGCCCACAATGTCAGGAGACTTAATCACTCTATCACTGACCTCGCTGGCATCCAAACCTTGAACTTCTCAATCATTCAATCACTAACGTAATTGGTGTACTTCCTCACACGTAATCCTGATGAGCACGTTTTTTTTCTTGATCTCTTTTTTAACTTTATCTCTGACTCATGTCGTATTCTGCAGCTCTGCCCTCTTGGCAACAATGAGCATGCGTACCAACAGAATATCTTTCTCTTATCAATGAGCTGATTGGTATTTGTTCCATGACTTCCTTCGTGACGTCCATTCGAATTAAGTTTTTAACCATCCTGTTCAAAAATACGCCTCATCTTGGGTGAAAGCCGGCATCGAAGCTTAAATTCAAACGAGGAAATACCAAGTGAAACCATGATTATTTTCTTGGTTTTCACCTGCATACACGGACGTTATGGCTCACAGGAATCACGGGTGAACCAGAGCGATACGTCTGATTGTAACAGACGTCTCTTTATCCCTGCTCATATTGGGTACAAGCGTTTCCTCAAAGACGGAGGCGAAGTTACTGTTCGCTGATAGAATGAAACAACGTATAGCCTCTCAGACGTTTGGCTCTAGAGATCATTTGTGGCTCTAAAAATGTGCACTGAACAAGAGCAAATCTTCAATCCCTCCTCTGTTCAAACACTTTCAACTCCTGACATCTACAGCAAATAAGGTTAAATTCTTTGCTCGTAAGTTCTCTTCCAACTCCGCACTAGACTCATCCGGAGTACCACACCTGATTTCTCTCCAGGCCGGAGGCTCTACTGAGTGAGATGCGCATATACCCGTCACTGTTTCAGGCACCATTTCTAAACTAGACAACTATAAGAGAAGTGGAAGTGATGGGATCCCTGACGTCGTTCTAAAGAAATGTGCTCCAGAGCTGGCTCCAGTCCTCACCAAACTTTACAAAAATTGTCTCGCTGTTTCCTGCTTTATAGTTTCGTTGAAGTCTTCCTCTGCAGTTCCTGTTTTTAAGAAATCTGAAGAACATTCTGAACCCACGGTTATCGTCCTGTTAGTCTCTTACCGCTTGGTGGCAAATTATTCGATGCTCTAATCGAGACTGAAGTGATTAAACATTTTACTTCTCACGACATCCTCTCGAACAAAAAATATGGCTTCCATTCCTCTAAGACGTTTGAAAGGGTTTGGCACGCTGGTCTTCTACGCAAGATCTAGAGCTACGCTATTACAGAGCGAGGGTTTGATTTGATCCAATCGTTAATACCAAATCGTGAAATGAAGTTCATTTGGAACGGAATCGTTTCCAGATCCTTTCACATGAAAGCGGGTGTCCCTTGAAGGTCCAATCCTTGATCCTACGCTGTTACTTCTCTTCCTCAATGATCTCCTCTATGTTATATGTTTCCAAGTAGGTATTTGTGCAAATGACACTAGTATTTAATAATGACTCAATTGCAAATTCGTCAGAGTTAAAAAGTTAATCTGTCCGCTGCATTGAAAATGACATCTAATCAGTGATTAAGTGAAGCTTGTAAATTTTAACTCCAAAAACAAAATTTCTGTCTATATTTCTGAGGTGATGTATTATGTACACTATTTACATTATTCGGACTATTGTCCTCATCCTTGTCTCCATATTTATCACAACATTTCGGCCTTTCAGTATCTGTCTATATTTCTGAGATGAGGTATTATGTACACTATTTGCATTATTCGGACTATTGTCCTCGTCATTGTCTCTATATTTATCACAACATTTCGGCCTTTCAGTACCTGTCTATATTTCTGAGATGAGGTATTATGTACATTATTTGCATTATTCGGACTATTGTCCTCATCTTTGTCGCCATATTTATTACAACGTTTCGGCCTTTCTGTATCTGTCTATATTTCTGAGATGAGGTACTATGTACACTATTTACATTATTCGGACTATTGTCCTCATCTTTGTTGCCATATTCATCACAACGTTTCGGCCGTTGTATGCCTCGGCCTTCTTCAGGTGGTTGGAATGACGAACCGAACCCTTTATTTCGCTCACTGTGGTAGACTCTACTTTCAAAATATTTTTGGAAGGTAAAAGGAGAAAATAAGACCCCTAAAGTTAAATGGAAAATGTTAAAACTAGCTAGAACTTGTCGATCCTTCTATGAACTTTGTTTTCTATGTTTACAGGAGAAAATGCAGATAATCAGGTTTTTGAATTGGAACACTTCTTAAATCAAAGATTCGAAAGAAGCGTTAACTGTAAGTACATTATGCCTTTGAATTTGAAATCTTGCTAAACTTTAAAATTTAATAATCTCTTCTCTTATATTGAATAAACTTGTGATAAACATTTTGGAATTATTCTTAGTATACGCTATTATTCTCAAATTACTAGTAATATTTTGTATAAAGATATATACGTCTGGCTGGTATTGTAACATTTTCTATTGTATTGTTTTATTTTTATTATATATATATATATATATATATATATATATATATATAACCCTTCAGTTAACAGTTATACTCTATTAAATCTAATTCTTATATTTTATAATCTATTTTCATATTATTTTATTATTTATATGGTTTATCTATTTGTTCTATGTACTTTTCGTTTTGGTTAGTTCATTTATTTATTCATAATTTATATAATTTATTTAGTTCACTATTTTGATTTAATTTAATTTTCTATTTTATAAATTTGATATATTTTTCTGTTTTTCTTTCTTTTATTTCTTAAAGTGTCATTTTATTTACATACTATATATAATTATCGTTAACATATGTTGCCACTTCTATGAAAACGGCAACTGTCCGTCAGCCGTTACGATGTATCCAAATTCTCGATCAAATAGACATAGTTACCGGTTAAAATTGGAATCTAACTTTCATGACATCTTACTTAAGATAGATGATTTTCATTGGCTAAACAAATTCTCAACATATCTTATCTTGCCTTTTTTATTTCTATATTGTCTTCATATTTTTCTTTATCACTTCTTTTTTCTTCGGAGATTGGGTTATATCGAGGATCTTTTTTCTCTTTTACCTGTTCCTATTTTTGTTTCTCTTTTTTCTTTTCTAGAGACTGTATCTTGTCTTTCTTTCTTTTCTTTTTTCGGATGTATCTTGTGTCTTTCTTCCTTTTAAGGAACTGATGCATCGGTAATATATACATTCTAATGTAATATACTATAATAAGGAATTATGGCTCGACTATTGACCTCTTTTTTAAATTAATGTCATGAACGTTTGAATGTATATTTGATCCGTTCTCATAGCATTTGCGTGTTTAGACACACACACACACACACACATACACACACATGCATACATATATATATATATATATATATATATATATATTCTGTTCATATTTATCTATCTCAGCCTATTTACATCTATCTATCTATCCATTTCATTCTGTTTCATATCTATCTATCCCATTTTATATATATATATATATATATATATATATGTACACATACCTCTCTCTCTCTCTATCTATCTATCTATCTATCTATCTATCTATATATATATATATATATATATATATATATATTATATATATATATATATATATATATATATATATATATATATGTGTGTGTGGGGGGTGTATATGTGTTTATATATCTCCATCCTCAGTTTTATCCCATGTCTATCACAATTAATGTATATTCATCTACCTCAGTAATTTTATATCTATCATATTCATATTCTACTTCAATTTCTATCTATCTATCTATCTATCTATCTATCTATCTATCTATCTATCCGTCTGTCTGTCTTTCTGTCATAGTTCCTATCTTTCTATCTATCTCCGTTTATTCATATCTATTTATCTCACTCTGTTTCTATCTCTCTTTTTATCTTTTTTTGTTTCAATCTATTTCACTTTGTTCATATCTCTCTCAGTCAGTTCATATGTATCTATCGCTCTCCTCTCTCTCTCTCTCTCTCTCTCTATATATATATATATATATATATATATATATATAAATTAATATTGCTATCTGTCTGTCTATCTATCTATCTATATATATATATATATATATATATATATATATATATATATATATATATATATGTATATACATCCGTATATATCTCTCTATATATATATTCATGTATCACTATCGGTCATTTTATTGTCTATCTATCTATCTATCTATCTATCTATCTATCTGTTTACACTACCCATCTTCTAATTATATTCTCTCTCTTTTACCTATTCTTTTCCATAGTTCTATTTTGCTTCATTTCTTTTATCCTCTCTTTTTTGTTTCACTATACTTATTCATTCATGCTCCTCTTTTCTTAATTTCTTTCTTTCTCTATTCTTTTCTTTCTTTATTCCTTACCTTATTCTCTCTTTTTCTCAAAATTATTTTCCTTCTTACTTTCTTTCTTTGTCTTTCTTTTCTTCCATATTTTCTTTATCTTGCTTCCTTTTTCTACTTTCTTGCTCTTACTTCTTCTTTCTTTCTTTGTTGTCCCTGCATTCGAATCCGGACACAGTGATGACAACTCCAGAGTCTGAAAACCAATGTTAGCATTTGCTAAGTTGGTGGTTAGTCCAATGAACATCTTAATAGATTGATGGACGTGTTTTGTATTCGTTGCCATTGGCGCCTTTTCTAAATGCGATATTGATTTAACTCAAGAGCAGAAGCCATTTAGTCGGGCAATCGGTAAATTGAAAATTTGGAACTAACGGAAAACGAAACTGGTGGATAATGACTGACTACTTGAAATCGACTGTTCGAAAATCATAATATGCGGGCATAGTTACATATATATATTTATGCATACTTATGTCTTCTTTCTTATCTCGACAGATAAATCTTCTCGGAACAGAGACATAGGCACAGACGGACAGCTACAGCTACAGACTTTATTTGCATATACAGGGTGTATCAAAATGCATTTACAAACATTGGGAGTGTTTTCTTCACAATAAAACAAGGAGAAAAGCCCGTATAAACATATGTCCGCAACTCCTTCGTTTTTGATTTATTAATATTAAAGTATACGGAAGAATTTTTTAACTGTACAATGCAGGATACAATCCAACAATTATTATGTAAACTTTGGGGGCGGATTCCTGACACCAAAACAAAGTCAAATGTCCATATCAAACGAAGGTCCAAAGGTCATCGTTGTACGTCAAAACAGCAACTCATAACAAATCTTCAAAATGTCCTCCCCTTGGTTCTACACACGCATGCATCCGTCAGATCATTGACAAATTCAAATACTAACATATGGTGTTGAATGGTTTCAGAGGACACCAAGACACTTCTGCATTATTAATGTCTACGAAATAAAGCAATTTTTTATTGGCCCCAGAGATTAAAAAAATCCAAAAGATTGAGGTCGGAGGAATGCGCAAACCATGGGACCGGTCCTTACTTACATATCCATCTTTCATGGAAGATGTCAGCTAGTTCATGGAAACAGTTGTGATTTAATGTGCTAGAGCCCTATAACGCATGAACGACATACGTCTTCGTAATAGCAGACGTAAAACCTCTAGTAGGTCTGGAAGTGTGTTCGAAGTAAAGTTCCTGTAGACAGCTCTTGTAAGACGTGCTGTGAGAAAATACGGACCTACCAGACAGTAACCTACAATTGCAGCTCAAGCATTAATCGTAAATTGATGCTACTATCTAGCCTATATTATAACATGGGGATTCCGATCCGTCCACAAGTAGAGGTTGATATTCCACACTCCTTCAAAAAGAAAATGTTTGGAAGGAAGCCCCAATTAATGATGTAAGGAGCAATAACAGCTACTGGACTTGAGAAACCTATTTTTTCTTAAATATTATTTTAATTGAAAGTTTATTTTTATAAGGCAACGGCTAATATTACCATGGCCATTATCATTACCATATATATGGCACGGTGGAGTAATGGATAGCGGCTTGGATTGATGAATCGGAGAGCATAATTCGAATTCCAGTCAAATCCATTACATTCACTTACTTGCTAATACCCTTGGGAAAGGTGTAAATCCTCTTCTTCCCCCTGTAGCTATGGGAAAATAGCAGGTTCTATAGCCTTGGATGGCAACTGGTCTAGGAGAAGGACAACTCTGAATTCAAAACCTGCGGAGGGTCGTTTTGTTGACCTTGTGGCACTAGGTGCATCAGGTCTCTGTATTAGGCTCTTGAAAAAGGGTGGCTGTCCTGCACGAAACCTTCACCACTATAATCAAATCTCATGTGCTATCATTGGGCTGTCAGTTTCCCGGGAACTAGTCTGCTTGACCCTCATACGTCGAATTCGACGGGAGAGTCGATTATATATATATATATACCATCCTATTTCCTGCCTGTTGTTATACCATGCGTCTTCCGATCCATCCACAAGTATTGGTTGTGTAAATTTGTGATTCCATCTTTTCCACATGTATGCCTCATCCGTAAATAAGACTGAAGAGGCAAACAATGATTTGGTAATTTTGTCCAATAAACAATCGGCAAACGTACTTCCGTAGTAAGTGATCTGAGGTCGGAACACCGTGTGTACGTTGCCAATGATACGGACACAGTATCTACTCTTGAAGTACCATCCATGTGGTACTATGAACTATACGGCATGCTAAAGCCATTTGACGTGTGATGATACCTGGATCGTCACTGACAGTCTATAAAATATGTTCTTCTTGATCAAGATTCCCCGATCTGTGGTTTGTGGTGCAACCGATCCTGTCTCAGCAATGCGAGGATAAACAGCATAAAATTTGGATGAATCGGCTTCCTTCGGTCTGGAAACGCAATCTGATGCAGCTTTGCAGCCTCGTGTCCATTACCACTCGGGCGGCAGTATGTAAATTCATATCTTCCTGGTCACGATATGAATATTCTGGCATTTTTAAACGGAACACCTGTCAGTTGTCGCTACTACACACGTTAAATTTGAAGAGAGACTAGCCCCAAATATAAATGAATGAGAACTGTAACCTAGTCTGTATGACAACACAGCGCTACTTTAAAATTAACTCAAAAACGAAGGAGTTGAGGTTCTATATTATATGGACTTTTGCACATGTTTTGGGCGTGAGTAACCAGCCCCCGAATTTTGTAAGTTTATTTAGGAAACACCTTGCATATATATATATATATATATATATATATATATATATATATATATATATATATACAGAACACTCGCGTCGTTTTCGAGAGTCAAACAGATCATTTCATACAGCAAGACAACCCGCATATATCATTTGATTGTAGTGGTGAAGGTGTGTACAGAACCAGTCTTACTTTATGGAGGAGTTTGCTTTCTCTCTCTCTCTCTCTCTTTCTCTCTCTCTCACACACAAACACACACACACACACACACACACACATATATATATATGAAGAAATAGAGTTTTAAGGTGCCCTATATTTATGGAATAAAGTGCTCAGTATCAGAGATAGAGCGTATCTCTATCTATAAAAGGCAGGATGTGTGTGTGTGTGTGTGTAACGAATGCACGGCCGCAATTTTCGACGGATTTGCACCAAAATTTACATACACATGCTCCTAGTTAGCAGCAAGGCCAAGACCGACTTTCCATTTCCCAACTCCCATCGATAGTGGAAATAATCGATTTTTTTCATGCTTCTACGGCAGTTTTCATGTAGTTTGCGGCCAATTTATACTGGCCAGAGTGAGAGCCAATAGCTAGCTGCCACGAATAGGCAGAAAGATTCTATTGGCCAGCATGAGAGCCAACAGCTGACTGACACGAATGACTCAACGTTGATTCTGATTCCGCAGAACTGGGTTGGATGTGAAAAAGCATTTGTTAACATTCTTTTTTCATTCGTTTTTTTTTCAGTTACGAGTCCTTTTTTAAAGCTCACTTGTTTTGTGTTCATTTTGTTTATGTTTTGCATAGAGCTTAGAAAAAAATTCGCAGTGTGAAAATGCAAGAAGTAAGGCATGTAGCAACATCAGCACGGCAAAGTGCACTCGCAAGGAAGGGCAAAAATATTTTAAGTCAAATGATAGCGATTGCTGTATGAGTCGTACAATTTTTGAATCAAGCACGGGCAACGCCGGGCCATGCTGTTAGTATATATATATATATATATATATATGAAGAAATATAGTTTTAAGGTGTCCTATATTTATGTAATAAAGTGCTCAATATCAGAGATAGAGCATATGTAAATATAAAAATTAACATTGAAGTAGACACTCAGTGTTTCATGCTAGACGCAATTCTCCAGAGACATGACGACTTGTAAGCGCGTTATAAAAATATCCCTCACTGGGAACCAACTAAGCAAACATTAGCCTTGAAATAGATACCCTACCCAACCTTAGCAAAACCTCTCAGAAGATGATGAATCTATTGATAAGAATTAACTCTCTGACCACTTAACGAAGGAAAATAATCTAGCCACTCCCACAATAAAATACTGTAACGGGCCATGCCTAAAACTACACGTAAACCGAGAGATAGCTTATTCCTAAAATTTCGCTTGAGGATGAAACGGGACTAAACACCTCAATTCAACTTAATTTTAATAATTATTTGGATGGTTTCGGCTCTCGTTTTTGAAACATGAGAACTCTTATGTAGCGAAAGAATCATATTTTTAAACAAAAATATTATAATTATACATATATATATATATATATATATATATATATATATATATATAGTAAATTTTGAGCCCTCATCACACCAAATTTGCATGGGTTTAACTTGACAAAAAACGTGGAAAAAAAAAACGAAAATGTGCTTTTTAAATTATTTATATTATTTATATTTTTCGCACTGTTATCCTCATCTTCATTGCCATTTTCAGAATGTTTCGGCCATATTACGCTCCGGCCTTCTTCAGGTAACTGGAATTTTGAACTGAACTGCTTATTCCGTCCACCAGGGTAGATTGCTTTAGTTCCACGTGCCATACATCTTCCGGATATCTCAGTTATTTCCTTTCAGCCTAACTCTGCAAGTTTTTGTTTCACTAATGCTGTACCCTGGTATTGAACACGCAACTCTTTCAGTCTAGTCACTGGATCTAACGAACAACTTTATCCACTTGGCCATGAGTCCTCAAGGATAAAGACGAAATAAAAGATTCGGTTCGAAATTCCAATCACCTGAAGAAGGCCGGGGCGTACAACGGTCGAGACGTTGTGAATATGGCAATAAATATGAGGATAACAGATGAATAATGTAAATACTCATATTACCTCATCTCAGATATATAGACATATATTGCTCTCAGAGTCGTTGAAAAAAATGGAATCAATTATCAAATGTATGCTTTTGCCTCAAATACCCAAAAATTGTTTTTGCAGATATCAAGGAGTGTAATTTGACGAGAACAAAATTTAGTCATAAAATGTTTTTGCTTTTTATCATAAAACAATATCTAATAGAAAATCATGTCACACTTACTTAACCATGTATAATAGTTTTTAAAGGAAAAAAACTACTTTGGGGGCCAATTTTATAAAATACCAGGGGTTGCCTCAAAGTTTTGAACTGCAGCATCTATATATATATATATATATATATATATATATATAT